ATTCTTGCGTCTTCACTGGTGATGTTTCCCAGGTAGATACGGTGGTGGACACGAGCATGCAAGAGGGGCGGCTCTAGCTGAAGGTAGAACCTTTTTCTCTTTGAGATATTTTTGGCACTTGGCTGTTTTTCTATAGCCAACACCACCCCCTGCACCTTTTATTTGGAGCATATTCCGGTTTAGTTAGCCCACTTTTAGTTTGGATTCTCCCCCTCATAACCCCTCCATGATCATTACAACATATATGTAAACATTTTTTTTTCTAATATAGCGACGTGCGAAGCTTTTGTGCCTTTGCGAAAAAAAAACATCATTCTTCTTCTAACATAGTGACATGCAAAGGTCAAAGCTTTTTCATATTTGTGCCAAAAGTTGTATTTAAACATTCTTCTTCTAATATAGCGATGTGCAAAGATTTTGCGCCTTTAAGAAAAAACATAATTCTTCTTCTAACATACTGACATGCATAGCTTTTTCCCGTTTGCGAAAAAAAGATTATATGTCCATCAGATTAGTCTAAATATAGTAGCAATATATTTATTTTCCAAAAAAATTGCCTAGAAGCACATATGTAATGTGCTTGGGAGCTAGTGGCGGGAATTTGGTTACAAACACTCAAAGTTTGGTTTTAGGGATTACTATGTAGGCATATCGCCCACAAATTACGCCGCCACTAGCACGCTTCGTCACCCTCAGCGTGTGCTTCCTCTTTTGCACGCCCAGATGCCACGCGGACGGTATTTGAGGGGCAGCACACCCCCTTTGCTCCGTGGTATGGGACTAAACCAGAGAGTGCATCGACGTGTGCAGAGCCAAAGGCCCTGTGGGCTGTGGGCACTCTGCTGGAGCGTGTGGGCCACTAGCGGCCCACCAAACCAATTGGGATTCAACTTGCCTGTATAATGGATCTAATTGTCGTTGACGAGCTGATGATATTGGTGGGCCTAATTTGTGCCAAAGCAGAGCGTGTGCAGGCATGGCGTACATCACTGCATGTAAAAAAAAAACCCTTTACTAAACTCTAGTAACCATTGGGTTTTAATTGGATCTATACCATTATAATTTTTATGGTTTTAAAATTTCACTGCAATTGATGTATTAGGAATCATGCTACTAGAATACTTTTAAAATCTGATCTATATCATGTGTACATACATTTCAACTCTCTTTTTCTTGGCTATTTATAATTTTATATGGATCAAAATGCCTCTCCCTCCTGTGTCAGACACCGTGGGTTCCTCTGCCCCCAATCGTCTCTACCCTACATTCCTCCAACCAACTGAGCGAGCAGGGGACAACAGAGCAAGTGCCATCGGTTCGCGACATGGCGTCGACAGCGAAACAAGCAGCCGGGGGTGGCGCTGACCGTGTCGACGGTGGAGCAAGCGGCAATGGTGGCAAGGTCAGGACTGTGCGGAGCATATCTCATAATCCCACCCTCTCTTTCTTCACTCCGTTCGTTGAGGACCTTGTAGATCCAGTGGTTAAGCATATCTGGCGATGGTGACGAGACTCAGAGATAGCGGGTTTAGTAGTGGCTCAGCGTGACGCAAGCAGATGTAGGGCGGCCACTGGTGGGTTCTAGGTTTAGCTGGTGCTCGTGGTCGGCAACTCCTCTACGCCAACTCCTCCATCACCATTCTTTTGCCCGAGTGATTTTGATTCAAAATGTTGTGGATTTGATCTGACGCAAAGCATTAATTAAATTATACTCCCTCCGTCCCTTAATATAAGGATTTTTAATATTTTACTTACATTGTTTGATCATTCGTCTTATTCAAAAAAAATTTGGAATTATTATTTTTTTACTTACTTTATTATTTAAAGTACTTTAAGCACAACTTTTTATTTTTTATATTTGCATAAATTTTTTTAATAAGACGAGTGGTTAAATAGTGCAAGCAAAATGTCAAAATCTCTTATATTATGGGACGGAGGGACGGAGGGAGTAGTAGACAAATAGACAATGCATAAGTCATAGGATATCTGATCTGACACGAAGCATTAAATTGTAGCATCATAGGAGATCATATAACGTGGAGCATTAAATTGTAGTAGACAAATAGACAATGCTTGGGCAACAGGAGGCATGCCTATTTTGGTATATGGGAAAATACGATTCAAAACGTGTATCAGACCTACAACATGGCATGGATTAGATTTTCAAGGTGTTACAGTGGCATAGATCCTAGTAACATGGCATGGATCCGATATGATTTTCAAGGTGTTACAGTGGAACTGAATATCCATTTTTTCAAAAAAAAAATCACCTAGATTTTTTCTACCTTTAGATTTATATCTAACGAACTACAAAAGAAAATAACAAATGCATATTTACTTACACATTATTTTTATCAAAATTATAGTGCACTTACATGTCATATCAACTGAATTTACATATATAATTTAGTTATATAGGACTGTAATTTTATATTATGATGTAAATATTGTTTTATATATACAACCAAATTCTCCTCCATACTCAAATGGCCAAGCGCTGCACATGGTAAGTGGTAAGCTGCCTTAGTTTTTTGGATGTTGTTAGCACGAATCTCACCATAAATTTAAGGGTTGAAAAAAGAGTGATTTGCAACGAAAAATCTGTCGACAAAGATTTAGCAGAATCGGTTATGAAAACCTACGACTCAATCACAAGGTGACACATGAGTCATATTCATTTATACAATGCAGAGTTATCTTCATTTATACAATGTAAAGAAGAAACAAAAATGCATCATTTTCATCATCTAATAAGTAAAGAGGAAGAAACAAAAATGTACATGAGTCATCTTCATTTATACAATGCAGAGTCATCTTCATTTATACAATGTAAAGAAGAAACAAAAATGTATTATTTTCATCATCTAATAAGTAAAGAGGAAGAAACAAAAATGTATCAATTTCATTTATTTAATAAGTAAAGAGAAGAAGAAATAAAAAAAGTTTGCTAAGCGCATGTGTCATGCGCCTGGCTAGTGGCGGATCCTCTTGTGGAGGAAGTTTTTTGCAACATCAAGTTTGGGGATCGCTACGTGCACATACCGTGCACACTGTGCCGCCACTAGGTCACGGGGATCCACGGGCTCCTCGTGTGCCTCCATTTTGGCACGCCCAGCAGCCGCCAAGGCCACCATTTGAGGGGGCTGCGCACCTGCTTGATTCCCCGGTATGGGACTAAACTCACCAAGTAACCAGGATGCATCGACCTGTGCACTCTCTTATCTCGCAGTCGCAGGCTCGCAGGCCCCTGTGGGCTGTGTGCATGGGCAGGGCCTTCCTAGCCCAGTTCCTTCGTCGCGGCACTAGCAAACCAATTGGGGATCCAACTTTGCCTGTGAATAAATGTGTCTCTTGATTTGGCCTAATTGTCGTCGACAATTAACCAGCTGGTGTCAAAGCAAAAGCGTCGAGTTGCAACTTGCAACATTGGTCAGTAAATATTGCAGGGATACCACCGGTTGTTGTTTCATCCTCCCGTGTTAATGTTGTCATCAACGCTGCTGCCATCTTTGGGCACCATAGTTAGGACAGGAGTAATATAGGAGTACGCTTTGTGCGGTTCCTTGTCATCGCTAATCAAAGCTGTGGAGGAACCACGCATGGTACTACTCCAGCAGTAGCCAGTAGGAGTACTGATTTCGAGCGAGATCAGGATTTTCTGCAGGTTCTGCTTGAATTCGCTTTCAAAAATGCATGGGAAAGTGTACTCATCTCTCGTTATGTACATCCTATCTAAATAGTTACAGAAAATTTAAAATAAATTTAAAATAAAGATTAATATCAAATATATCACTCCATAATATGCAAGTTAAAATTTAACTTTTAAAAGTTGTAGAAAAATAACAACGAATGTATGATAACTATTTTCACAGTTTAGTTTGTTTCTTTGTTGTAACTTATAGAAGTCGAATTTAGTCTTGCATGTTTGTAAAATGATATATTTTATATTAATCTATATTATCAAAACTTTTTAAAATTTTTTATAACTATTTTGGTGATGATATGCAAGCAACGAGAAAACATTCACTCGAGGATGAAAATCCGATATCACCGATGTGCATCAGTGGTAGGGACCGGAGTTTTACAGCCATCAATCTGTTCCTATCGTTTGATTCGTTTCTCCCTCAGTCTTGTATTGTATGCGTAAATAGATCAGGAGTTTTGGTGCAATCTTTTACCTTAATTGGGAGGCTAGCTTTGGTTTTTGAAACAAACTGGGGGTGGGGGGTCGTTACTGTAGCTGTTTTAGGCTTTAATCAGTATAATATAACAAGATTATATAGGATGATAAATGTAAGAATTAAGAAACCACGCGGTCGTACTGGACTCGAGCTCGTACTATACTTTCGGTTAGTATAAGTACTCCTATTATTAACGGTTTGGTATTCTTCCGAATTCGAACTGTAATCTTAGCAGCTATACAGTCTACGGAGTACGGACATGACACGAGACAATATTACCCCTCCCGTCTAATTGTATCCGAAACAGTAATCTAATTATCTAATCTGAACTCCGGGTAGTTCAGTACTATTCAAAACAATTTTGCTAACGTATTTGTCTACACAAATTTTATATTGTAGTTGCATGTAATATTGTATATTTATCAAAGTCCCATTCAAAATCTGAAGGGAAATCTGAATCTGGACATGGCAAAGGCGTTGACCTCACCACAGACCAGCCCCCCATCGACGCGACGACCGCCCGATCGGAAACCGACAGTCCAGATCCAACCCGTGCCCGCCCGCCTCGACATGCGCGTCCGATTTATCCCCTTTTTTTTTTTCAATTTTCCCCAACTCGATCGACGCGGACCGGACCGGACCAGATACCCCAACCCCGACGCGGACAGACACGACCAACCAACGCACCCCACCCAACCCAACCCGAGAGACGGTCCGACCGACCGTACGACGTGCCGGGCCCGGGCTCCCAAACCGGGTCCCTGTCGGGCTCGCTCCGAACCCTATCCACCTCCGGCTTCCCCCCACCTATATCCTTCCCTCCCCCTCGCGGCGTCGAGCAAAGCCAAAAACTACTACTCCTCTCGAGGCGACGACGAAGAGGAGAGGAGAAATCTAGCGGCGGAAGCAGCAGCTGCGAGAGGCGGATTTTTCGATTCGGTTCGAGGCGAGGCGGAGCGGAGGAGGAGGATTCGAGGCGATGGATCGGTACCAGAGGGTGGAGAAGCCGCGGGAGGAGGCGGCCATCGGCGCCAACGAGATCCGCATCACCGCGCAGGGCCGCACCCGCAACTACATCACCTACGCCCTCGCCCTGCTCCAGGTCCGCCTTCCTCCTCCTCCGCCTTCGATTTGTTTTGTTTTTTGTTTTTTTTTTGGGTGGGGAGAGCTAGGGTTTAGTGCGGGTTCAGTAATCTCGCCGCCGTTGGCGGAAGCGAATCTGGGGCGCGTCTCGATGTTTCCGGCCGATTTTCTGGTGACCTAGGGCTCTACTATTGCGTTGGTAGATGCTGCTGCTGCTGCTCTAGGTGTTGGTTGGTTACGTTTTATTTTTGCTAATTGCTACTAGTATTATATCCCATAGAATATACAAATTGTTTTAGGAAGTGAACTCTTTTCTGGTCTGGTGTAGCAGGCGGTTTATCGTTGCTGTTGATGATTGATAGGTGGGGCTTGTTCACTGTGTGTCTTAGGATAGTACTTTCACCCTGTACTATCCTTAAAATAAAATAGGAAATAGATTTAGTAGGGTAAAGGTGGTATTGTGTTGTGAATGATACTAATTATTAGTAATTGTTTTCTATATGTGTGGAGATTTGATTTGTCCACTGTCTGGTATGGCACAGTAATCATGAGGGAATCTGACTGTAGTGGCTTTGTTAAATCTGTCCATCTCTTTATGTTTGGGACTGCTATTTTGGGGGAATATCCATGTTTTCTAATTAGTCACTAATAATTGCTTTTGCTTTCTCGTTCCTCATAGCAGGACAACGCGACAGATGAAATCGTTATCAAAGCTATGGGAAGGGCGATCAACAAGACCGTCGCAATTGTGGAGCTTCTCAAGGTAAATTTGCAATTCCATAATGTAATCAGATAATATTGGATATCCCTCACTGTTACGATATGCCATGTGCTGATCTACGCCCTCCCTGAGCAGAGAAGGATTGTTGGTCTCCATCAGAATACCTCTATTGAATCAATCGACATAACTGACACTTGGGAACCATTGGAAGAAGGGCTTAACACGTGAGGATCACACAATCTTTTTTCCATGTACCTGTATCTATTTTGGAAAGGGCTTATGTGTTTGATATGATTGTTTGTCTTTATGATAGCCTTGAGACTACCCGCCATGTTTCCTTGATTACCATTACATTGTCAAAGAAGGAGCTGGATACGTCATCTCCTGGGTAAGTAGAATTCTGCACTTTCTTCCTCCCCTTTCGATTTTTTGTAAAAAAAATCTAAGAGAGCTCTAGTTGGATATGATTATTGTCAGTAGTTCAAGATAAGATAGAATTCTTTCCAGGAATGGCTCATTTAAAATTCATCGTGTCGCATATCTTAACTTTTTGCTAGACTGTCTCAGTATACTACTGCTGCTACTTATTATATTTGCTAGAAAATTCAAACCATAGAGTTATTGTAGGCAATATTTGCTCCAAATATATCCCTATTATCTGGCGGTCTATTTCTTTTCAACATACTCATGCAATATTTATCTCTTCAAAACATATGTGATGTGACTTTGCTTTGTGTAGTTACCAACCACCGATACCGGCTGATCAGGTCAGGCCGCCAACTGACTTTGATCAGGAGGCAGAGGCCGTGCCCAGTGGTCGTGGAAGAGGACGTGGTCGCCGTGGAAGGGGCAGGGGAAGAGGTAAATATCTGCCTACTGATGATTGTAAAGTTTATATCCCTGCAAATTATGATTGGTCTTGGTGTTGATCTGATGCCTCTATGAATGCAATTCAGGGTTCAACAATGAAGATTATGATGATGAGCATGGAGATGCAGAGGTCCCACAGCCTCAGGGATATCGTGGCAGGGGAAGAGGAAGGGGCAGGCGTGGATCCTTTGGACCTGGCAGGGGTTATGGTGGAGATGGTTTTGCAATGGAAGAAGCTGGTGGATATGATGATGGGGAGCCTAATGCACCTCCTATGCAAGGGCATGGTTAGTTATGCTTAAACTTTATTACCTAGAAATAGCATTATAAATTATAGTTCCTTCAGTTCGATTGTATTTTTCTTACCTATTGGTTTGTACTGAAATATACTATCTGCTATCATTTATCACACATTTAATGGATGTTGGCTGAACGTTGTCCGAGAGCCACTTGATTTTTTATGGTTTATGTTGATATAAATTTAAGATTATTTTGTCAGATGTGTAAAATAAGTTACAAAAGTAATATTTAACCTTAAATTTACAACTACTATGACTGTTTTGCCTTGGATTTTTTTTTGAAGTGTTACAAATTTGCATACGTAACTTTGCATTTGTTCCTTACTTTGCCTTGCATCTTTTGTGAACTACAGAAGGTGGCAGAGGAAGGGGCCGTGGTCGAGGCCGAGGCTGTGGACGTGGTCGTGGTGGAGGCCGTGGCCGTGGACCTCCTCCTCCTCCTCAAGAGTAGAGATTGGCTGGCTCGTCAACTATCCAATGCAGTGACTCGTCTTCATTAGATTAGTGTTATCTTCTGCTGTAACTTAATCTGTTTAGGTTTTTATGTTCAAAAGTTTGACATAGTGACTTCAGTGTGGGGGATGCGGCTAGTTATGATTTTGTAGCTAGGTTATTCTTCCATTTGCTTTTTCCTCAGTTCTATTACCATTCCAACTGTGCATTGTAGCATCTTTTTAGTGTGTTGTCCTCAAATCTAGCTCAGAAGATCCATTTGTTATGGTGTTGGAAGATCGCACAGCATTTTCTATGAATGTGCAAATCGTATCGAACTCGCTTTTGAATTGGATATGGTGACGTTGCATATGTTTTTGCTCGACTTTCCTGTGCATGTTTCGCGTAATTCTAACTGGGCAGCTGTTTGACATTCGGATTAGCTGATTGCCTGATTCCACTAATTGTTAGTGATTGTGAAACAACATGCTTCTGTTCCTGCAGTTTAATGTTACGATGATTGATTTATATATAAATATCTGTCCATCTGGCATGGAGGCACTCCAATCCTCCAACTGCAAAAGTCCCAGAATGTCTGTAATTTACAGGATTTTCAAACAATTTAATTTAATTTCTCATAAACAGCTTCCAAAATTTATCCATTACAAATAGGCCTTTAGTCAGGAGGAGATTAAGCCTATATGAATGTAGTTCATCAAGTGGATACTTCCTAAGGCCCTTTGTACCAAGAACCACCTTACCATACTATCGCAAAACAATAATTATAATTTTTATAGGGTGTATGAGAAAAGCACAAATTTTGATCTAAATTTATGACAGTATTACAATTTTACCCAAACTTACATTAAACTACAGACTTAAGAGGGTGTATCACAATAGCATCAAATTTACCACAATACTACAGGTCTAATGCATAATATTGTAGATCTACAAATTTGAACACTAATTTTATCACACAATCATAGCATGTAGCTCAACCCAAATATAAACTCTTGAAACTAGTAGTTTTATAATAATATTGATGTTAAAATTGTAATTTTGTGATATACATAAATTTGTAGTTACGAATAGTTCTGTGCAATTTACTCATTTCGTAACAGTTTTTATTCAACTCATTCAAACTACCATCAAATAGTATTTAATTTGTTTCGAATCAACTCATTCAAATAAAACCGTGATGTTGTTGCTATCAATGTTGATGCTGCAACTTTTCAGTAAACACGTCGAATGGGAGTGGGCATGGTAATAAAAAACTACACCTGTGATTTATTGGCTTGCAATGAGCGCACAAAAGAGGTTACCATAGTATAGCTTGCTGAAGCATTGGCTCTACGCCGCGTTGTTGCTCTCACTTGCGAAGAAGGTTTTCAAAACGCTAGTAATTCTGAATGCAGTCATACGGAGAGTTAACTCATTATCCATGGACCAATCTTCAAATGGCATAGTGATTGCAGACATCAAGGTCATAGCAGTGGGTTTCTCCTCTATTAGTTTTAATCATGTTTATCTATGTTGAATGCCGCGACTCATTTATTAGCTCGTTTCTGTGAACATTCTAGTGATGTTATGCACCGTAACGTAACCTTGGAGTGTATTCGGGAGATACTTTGTAGTAATGATTTACCATAACCAATAAAACACCGCTCTCTCTAAATAGACAAAACCAACCAGTAGTAGTATTCAATCTACTTCCAAATTTGAATCAAATAGTAGTCAAATTTGCAGCATGTTGGGGAAGCACTAGTGGGTGGTGATGGAGTCGTGGGTGCATGGCTCCATCCACTAGGGTTTAAATCCTAATAAGATAATAGATGTTTCACCGATCTCCATCTCTTAGAGTCTGCCATGTTATCTCATAAAGAAATCAAATCTAGGTGAACTTTTAGCAGGGTTTTAGTAACATAAAAGATGTTTGGCTGATTTCCGTCTCTTAGAGTCTGCCATGTAATCTCAAAAAGAAAAAAAAACTGCAGTATATGTTGGAGAAAGAAACAACCCTATCCCTCGCGGGCCAGCCTGGGCCGGACATGTCAGATGGGCCAGAGAGATACACGATTACACGTGGGTTTTTTCTTCCCCCCGTTTATTTCCTTTCCTGAAATTTCTCCAAATCTGCCCCAAATTCCGAATTTTACTCGAACTCCAAAAACCCTTCCCCTCTTCTCCCCTCGCCTCGGCCCGCCGGCGGCCGGCCACCACCGCCACCTCCTCCTCCGATGGATCTCGCCGCCGTCCACGCCGCCCTCGCCGGCAAGTCCTACTCCTCCGTCGCCCCGCTCTGCGACGACCTCTTCCTCCAGGTACCAATCCCTCCCCTCCCCACCCCTCTCCCGCCTCCCGCGACGCGAGGAGGGTTAGCGTAGCGCTCCTGACTCGGTGTTCCTCGCGCAGGCCGCGTCCCGGGGCGCCGCCACCGACGGCTGGCCCTACGCCGTGCACCTCCTCGCCCACCTCTACCTCAACGACCTGTAACGCCCCGCGATCTGCTCCCCCACCTCTCTCCCATGGAATTTTTCTGGGCTAGGGCTTCCGGGATTAATGTTGTTTTTGTGTTTCTGGGTGGGTGCGTGTGTGAGCAGGAACAGCGCGAGGTTTCTGTGGAAGTCGACGCCGCAGGAGGCGAAGGACGCGCGGCCGGAGCTCGCCGCCGTCTGGAGGATCGGGCAGTGCCTCTGGAACCGCGATTACGCGGGCGTCTACGCGGCCGCGCAGGGGTTCGAGTGGAGCCCTGAAATCGCCGACTTCGTGGCCGCCTTCCTAGGTACTGGTTGTTGCTTTACTGTTCATGATGGAAACGTGCAACAGTTGAATTATTCTGTGTCTTTGTGCAAAGTTGTATTGCTTACTAGAATGAATTGCATACTGTGGTAGTATTGTGTTGGAGGTCACCACTTTGTGGTGTGGGTTGGGAAGTCGGGAGATTCAGATGTGCATACATATACTTCATGGAGTAATTGTGGAAACGATTTATCTGCACAATCAGGCTGAATCAGCTTCCTTAATGAATACGCAAAGTTACTATTAGTAGAGTGCCCGTTAGTAGAGTTTTGTGCTGCGTAGTGTAATGGTTAAAGTGTTTATCTTGGAAATACTTGCTTCCTAAGATAGCCTTGTTCAGTGGGTTTATACTATCTCCTTAATAAGGACTAGTGATTTGATTATTTTCAGGCTGCTCATAAGAGTTTGGTTCCCAAGAAGTTCAGTTTTGTTCCTATTTTTACTTCTAATTGACAACATGATGCAACAATTCTAGATGCACAGAGGATGTTCATTAACTCATGCTTCAATCAAAATAAACACTTTGTAGTTATCATTTATGAGTGAAACTGTTGAATGTATTAATGTAATAGCATTATAATTAAACATTTGCACTTTTTTATAAGGTGATTGTTAACATTTTACCAGCAGTCATTGTGACACAGTAGTGGAACTAGAGAAGTTAAGTTCTTTCCATGAAGTGCTTACTATGACATATACCATAATAATACGTCAATCAGGATAATAAGTTAATAACATCATGATTGTTTCCCTTTTGCTTGTTTAACCAACTAATCTTCTAGTATTATTTTTATATTAGGAAATAAGTATAAAGCCTGCTGTTTTATATTTTTTTTAGTATTTATAATTGGTTAACTTGAATATCCAATATTGTTTTCTGATTACACAGAAAGCTACAGAAAGAGGATTTTCCAGTTGTTGACTTCTGCATATTCCACAATCAGCGTTGCTGATGTGGCTCACTTCATGGGGATGAATGAGGAGGATGCTACTAACTGTACATTTTCTGAAACTATCTTGTTGCTGTACTATGTTTTTTAATGTTAAGTACAATGTTCTGACTATCTTCATGTTAATCAACAGTATAGATCATAGAAGTTCTGACATGGTTAATATGGTGTTTTTAGTCATCTTTATCTGTAGAAATCATCCAAAGTCCCAATTTTAGGATACACTGCATCCTTTTCAACTTCCATAGCATTTCTTCATAGATTATAATCTTTCGTCCAATATGTGTTTTTGCAAGTTCCTTGAATTTTGGAAGGTAAATGTTTCTCCCTATGTCTCAAAATATAACAACTTTTAACCCTCAGGATTTGTCCCAAAATATAACAACTTCTCCACCAACATTCTCTTTCCAACCAATCACAACCCTCCACCATTCACTTTTCCCACCTACCTCCACTACTCATCCAATTACAACCCTCCACCATTCACTTCTATCTACTTTCTTAATAACCGTGTCCAACTCTAAAACTCTAAAACAATGATGGTGCCCCTATGGACTTCTTTTGGGTAGCACTTCTATTGTACTGACTGGATTATAACACTGCATATTACATTACTTTCCTTTCACAATAGAAAATAGAAACCTCTCCTTCATACAATACTTGAATTCCATTTTGTGCCATCAGTGTTGTCCACATTTCTCCTGGATTGAGCATTGTACATTCTAGGTTTGAATAAAGTGTCAGATATTTTGTTGTCTTTGAGACTCGGTTGTGTCAAAATTAAACATACTTTTGTGTGCATGAATTTTAGTTTGTTTTGATCATTGTGATAATGCTGGCCCATTGATTTTGATGTTCACAATGAGGTATATCCACAATTTCACATCTAATTGGCTATCTCTGTTGGCTTGAGTACTGTTGTGGAGTATAAAATTAGTAGAAATTTTGGCACAACCCACTCAAAAAGAGTTGTCTTCATTTTACCATTTCAATATAGTGAATGCATTCTTCTTCCTTCTAATTACCAAAATTTTTCGTAGGTCATTCATGTAACATATTGAAAATTATTTTTTTTTTGTGGTCAATGCATCAAGGCTCGTGTATCCCTCTTTCTATGGCTATAACTAAAACTTGCTATATTTGAAACATATTGAAAAACATATTGAATATTTTTGGAATAAGCATCCCTCTGTATTTGAAGCATTTTTAGTTCTGCAAATTTTATTATGCTATTGTGTTTGACTTTCTGCATGATATTTGCCTGCTTCAGAAGCTGATGACAATAGTTGTCTTAATAATCATTACAGATGCCATGCAAAACGGTTGGAGCTTGGATGCGGCAGCCAGGATGCTTACTGTCGTAAAACCAAAGGTTAAGACTAACCAGAAGCTCGATGCAAGCAAACTTCAGCGATTAACTGAATGCGTCTTCCACCTGGAGCACTAAAGTCCAGCATTACGGGCATCCCGCATGACTCTTAAGAAACCTATTTATCATATGATGCCAAGCCGAGATTGCCTTTTCTCCGGAAATCAGAGTTAGTTCAGTGTTGAATTTCCATCTGCAATTGATTTCTGGTTAGCGACCTTAGCCTTTCTCTGTAATGGTTGCTTGTTGATATGGTTGGTGGTGGTTCTTGCCAGACTTACACTGAAGTAAATGACACTGCTTAGTGTCAACTCGTAAGTTAACGTTGTTTTTTGAAGTATGAGTTGAAAATTGTTTCCCGTTTTACAGAAAGTCACTGTTAGTGTTGTTCTTGATTAGTTGTGGCCTTTATGCTTGTGCTTCATTAGCTGCATAGCTGCCAATTGGGCATCTATTGTCTGGATTTTAATGAGATTGTTATCCTAGACAAAACCTGTAGTTGTAATGCGTACATTACTGTACGCCGTATGCTTGTTAGTATATTTTTGATAATGGATTTTCTTTGATTAGTATTATCCTGCTATATTACGCTGAGGGAGCTCTTCTACGGCTTTAGCTTTTTCTAACTTTGTAATCTGCAAAGCACGGAAACGTTCTTATGGCATATATTAGTTATTATTGTTCTCTCTAAATTTACTGATAATTGAAATCGTTGTAGTAGGAGAGAACTCGACGTTCTCCGCTTCTTGTGCGAACTCAGGAGTGTACAAACTTAGGAGAGAACTCGAAGTTCTTCGCTTCTCGTGCGAACTTAGAACAGAAGAACAAAGAAATTAAATTAAACCATTATGTTTTCTATCTCCAAATTGTACTACCGCCCTTCCATGGTGAGCTGAAATCCGGGGCCTCCATGCATTGGTCAAATTGCTTCGTGGCCAGAAGATTTTTCCTGGACACGGCTGACTTCCTGGTGCCTCCTAGTCCCATTCCCAAGCATACACACCACAACCCCGTTGCCTAGCAAACAACACCGATTCATCTACGATATGACCCTGAACTCTCAATCCTCTTTCAGGTCATATATTATCACATATATATAGATAGTTGTGGATTTGTTCTCCGGCCTGTACCGTGCAGTGATGCAACTGTGGCAGCTATTTGTCGCTGTCGTGGTGGTGTTTGAATCTCGTGAAGATGAAGATGAAGATTAAGTGTTTCACGCAAAATGAGGTGGTAGTAATGTGTGATTAGTTGAGTTTTAATTATTATAAACTTGAAAAATGGATTAATATGATACTTTAGAACAACTTTCATATAGAAAGTTTTCATACGAAACGTACCGTTTAGCAGTTTAAAAAACGTGCCACTTTAATCCAAAATTTAATCCACTCTTTCCAATGGATTCGAACGTCATGAATCGCACATGGACATGCTGAATCATATAAAATCTTGGCCAATGATTTATTGCAATAAGAGCACATATGGTGAAGTATGTGTACGATGGTCTATTTCTTTGACAATTTTTAGTGCGGTCTTCTGGTGGTAGGAATGATGTAATCTAGATCTTTCACCATGTTCTAACATCTTGGAATGAAGAAAAAGAAGTCAGAATAGTTTGTATTTTTTTAAGTAAACTAGACATTACGCTTCAATGAACGGAAAAGTTCCTTTTCTCGCATGCATTTTAGTTTACTCAAATTCTCTCACATTGGAAGTAAACGAGGGCATATAAATACAGCAACGAATGAAACAAAACATAGTTTAATCTAGAACCTACAGATGCTTTTGAGGAGAGATGTCATTGCTGTTTGCACTTCCTCACCAATTCGATCATAATCTCTTCTTCAAGCAAAGTAGTAGGAAATTGTTCTCAAATGCCTTCCAGTTCGGGGTCGTGGGGAAGATGCCATCTTCAGCTGCATTTGCCATACGATGGATATCGATGGCACGACAATTTTTCCCGCTGTTGAATGAAGAGGAGATTGCTGAATTTCGGATGCTTCCTAGTCCTAGCATAACACTCCTATAGTCCCATTTGACGCTTATCATGGACATCAATGATATGCGAGGAGATAGCTGAATTTTGGATGCTTCCTAGTCCTAGCATAACACTCCTATAGTCCCATTTGACGAATTTTCCCCGCTGTTCGATGAATAGGAGATTGCTGAATTTCGGATGCTTCCTAGTCCTAGCATAACACTTATATATAGTCCCATTTGACGCTTATCATGGACATCAATGATATGTGGGGTTGCGAATTGTGATGGTTGTGCTGGAAAAAAGGTGGCTACAACCGATTAAATGCCGCATCTCGGTTGCATATCATCAGTTGTAAGTCATCAATTTATCCTTATACATCTATACCATACTATTATTATGTTTGTACCTATTTGTAAGTGAGAGCTAATAATAAGTAAAAAAGAACAACTTAAGTGGTGATTTCAATATATGTCTAATGTCTATGTCAAGTGATCAAACTCATCCAACTTATATAACAATTAGATAAAAATAACTATGCAAAACCACCTTAGGTGGTTATATAAATGGTATTGTAAAATTGAGGGGATTGAATATCCGGTTTCAAAGTTTAGGGTGCTAGATAAACTTTAATTTAAAGTTTTTTTTTGGGGGGGGGGATCTGGACCTTTTCCTTTAACTATTTCCTACACCCCAAATACATGCAAAAGTCTAACAAGTTGGATCTGTTCTAGTTTAAGCCAGAGGAGTCCAGTATGATTCTGCACGGTGGTGACATTCGCCTCGATCTTCTTTTTCGTGGCTTGGAGAGAGTAGTCCACACCGCTAAAAATTTCCGATGTCTCCTAGTTCCAAGGTTACCAATATGATGTAGAGTATTCCATTGTATTGGTATGCCATTCCCTAGGCAGAGACAACATCAACAATATGACCTTACCATCCTGATCCCATTGTATGTTCATCTATATATATAGATAGATATATAATGAAAGTATAACTCCTGGTCCCCGGCGTCTGCATTAACTAGAATACATAATAATTTGTGATACAACTACAGCAGAATCATAGACAGGACTTGCAGACCAAACTCTGGTGGACAAAAAGATATATATAAGGGGAGATATCATTTATGTTTTTGGGTACACTGTTTGGAAGGCTGTTCACCTATCTTATAGAGGGAGGAAGAAAAAGGTCTTACAGTTACAGAGTGATTTGTTTTTAGAGTAATTCTCAGTTAGTACGTCATATAATGTCAAATTCTAGAATTAGAGAAAGAGATAACATGAATCCTTTTTTTTTCATGAATGATGTGAATACCTTAGTGCTTTGTGAAATGCACGAAAGGAGAATTTGTATGGACTCCCAAGTGTGTAGTTCTTTTGCATCTTGCATGGAAGAACATCATTTTCTGCTGTTAATCCTGATTCACGAGCAGCAATCACATAATTGGCTGCACTTGCCACTCTGGTCCGTGGCCAGGAGACTGTTCCTAAACAGACTGAATTTCCGGTGTCTCCTAGTCCCACTCCCAACTCCGAAGCATACTTTCTCCGTCTCATTCGTTTTTTTGGATGGATGGAGTATATCAGTATACTGTATATCACAAATCCCCATTGCCTAGTAAATAGCAACATTGAGTCATCTACGAATGTTTGACCTTGAACTCTCATTGATCTTCTTTCGGGGTCATATTATCATACATAGTTGCATGCATGTCTTCTGTTCCGTGTTGTGATGCAACTGTGGGCCTGTGGCAGCTATTTATCACTGAATCGTACATGGACTTTTCCAAACCATATAACTTTGGCAGATACATATTACTAATGACAATAATTTATAGCTGGAGAAGAGCACATAAATGGTGATGTAAGCATACAATGGTCTATTTCTAAGACAATTTTTATGGAGAGTTTATTGGTAGTACAAGTAATAATATTCGGAAAGTTTCGGAAACTGACTCTAACTGTGTTATGTCGAGTGCGAATTAGACCCCAAGCACGTGCTTTCGTATTAGCCACCCCCACCTGACCATACAGTGCGAAAATTCATTGAATAGAGCATGAGAAAACTTACAGAACTAGAGTCCTAGGAGGCAATAGCCAAGAAAGAGAAAAAAAATAATCACCACCACACAGTCCAAGAGAAGACCAGCACTGTACCGGTTACTGCTAAGTGTGACTGGCAGCCGCTAGGCCAACAAAGAAACTACAACCGAGATCGTCCATGATCTTCTGCTGATGGTTTCCCAATTCTTCCTAATTTCAGGAGGTTGGAAGCTATGCCATCTTTTGCTGCATTAGCCATATGCATGACGGCAACCAGACGACATTTGGCCCCCGTGTTTCATGGCGGTAGCATTACCTCTACACACTATCGAATTTTCGATGCATCCTAGTCCCCAATTAATATATCACTATCCCATAATCCCATTTCATACCTATCATGCTCATCGACGATATATACATGGAGCTGCAATGGTTGTGTTTGGAGGAGCAATGGCTACACAGCTCGGCTACATGTACATGAGGTTGAATGCCATATCCTGGGCTCCAATGAGGCTGTGGCAATATTAAGACCTGACTATGGGGCATTTTTCTGTCTGTATTTGTGTTCCTTGTAGATCAATTCTTATGATATGTGATGCTTCGTAATTGCAAAGAGATAAAACTGATAGATCCAGTACAACTGGCATTAATTTTTAGCTGTTATATAATCCGAGGTCCGAACGTGGTAAATTGTGCCAAATTGTTTCATACTGATAGAGATGGACTACTGGTTGAGCTGCTATTTTTATGTCAGGAGTAGATGAAATTTACTTTGTAAACACTTCAGGGATGCACTAATGCACCTTTATCATTCTAGCTGGATTTTCTCATCTCATATTATAAGAGAACCTCTCTATTAGAAAACTTTCCTTCTCATCACACTTTTAATCGATTAATCCCATCTTAGCCTTCTAATGCCATCGATGTTCTCAGTTTGTTTTTTCAAAAGATGTTATAACTATTTGGATGATATGTAAAAAACCATTTGAATGACATGTAAAAAATTGGGGGATATTCCCTTAGGACAAAAACATGTGCGTTGAAGTGTGAGTATGAAATTGTTTTTATTGGAAAAAAAGTCACTGTTAATGTCATTTCTTAATCAGAATAACACAACTATATATGCCTATATCATATTCTAATAGGGATAATTTGAACCATGCCACACAAATTTAAATCACAGAATCCATCAACCGGGGGAAACATAGCAGAGAAACCGAACATAGAAATCACAGATCTGACAATCGGGTGCGGGCATAGTGGGGGGTGGGGAGCTTAGCTGACGGCGGCGAATCGGCAGCGACTGTGATATGTGAGGCTTGCAAGTTGCAGCGGCGCCGGTGGCCGCTAGGAGGGAAGGAGCAGCGCGCGGGAGGTCGGGAGTATGGAAATGGCGTTAGACCTAGGGTATGGGAACACCGCTGGCTTTGGAGGCGGCGGCGCGGAGGAGTCGGAGTGAGGAGGCGCCGGAAGGAGGAGATGCGGTCCGACGATTGGCTTCCAAGGGGAGGAGGCAGCCACGTGGCGGCGCTCGACCACGCCCGTCGCCGCT